GAGAGAGAGGGAGAGAGAGGGAGCGAGAGAGAGCGAGAGAGAGAGGGACAGAGAGACAGAGAGCGAGACAGGGAGAGGGAGACAGAGAGAGAGACAGAGAGAGACAGATATCGACAAAGAGAGGGAAGGACACAGGGCGAAGGATTGATGAACACGTGCAAAAGCGACAGCGGTACGCCAAGACGTCTCTCAACAGCAGGATCAAGAGTCGATGGCCCACTGCAGCACAACCTCAACTTGGAAGTGGCATTGCAGCGGCCTACCATTTCTCCAGAATCATAACAGACTGGGGGCGGGGGTGCTTGATCCTGTTGGGAGGGGAAGCATGGGGAAGGAGAGCAACCGTGAAGGTGCTGCCCACCGCAAGAGAAGATAAAAAAAAGAAAAGACGAAAGCACCAACAACAACGGCACCGCCCACAGTCACACGGCAACAACGCGGACACCTCACATCCCCAGAATATTCTGACGTCACTTCACTATTCGTCAGCCGGTGAGCACATGAAAAAAAAGAAAAACACGACCACACACATACACCCTGCTGGGGTCCCAGGTCACGGCCTTCAGAGATATTTTCTGCTTTCAGCCGCACTGAGACTGGCGTCTTTTCATCGGTCAAACGGTTAGCGCGGTCGATGCTAAGAGTTCAAAAAAAGCACACAAGCACGCACGCACGCACGCACGCACATGTCGCAGTGGACGATTCCCTTTGAGTGCAAGTAGTTGACCCCTTCCAGAAGCTGCATGATAACCCGCTTCGCCTCGATCTCCGTCAGCCGTCTGTATGCCATCACCGGGTACACGTCCGTGGCAGCGTAGGGTTGGTGGGCGAAAACACACACGGATAAGGTGAGATATATTGTCCCTCGATCCTTCCGAGGGGGCGATGTCGTGAGGTATCTGAATACAGTACATACCTCGTAGCACCAAAACGCCCAAGCACACTGGAGTGTCTGCTTGTTGGCCTCTGGTCAAGTTGGGTTGCGAAACTGCATGCCATCCATCCATCGCGGGGGTATTTTCTGAAATCTAGGCAGGAGGAGCCTTCAGGCTGCAGTAGTCTGCAAAGCACTTTCTCAACAAAGTCATACCCTTGTTTTTCATGCACTGCTATCCATACGGTGGGGGAACGCGTCATCAGCTGCGGGATAACGTGCGCTGGCCTCTCTGTCAAAAACCATAATACAACGCGGTAGGGCAAATAAACCCCCAACACGGCGAATGAAGAGCGAGTACACGCCATTGCCATCCTCACACACACAGATTCAACGTACGGCACGAGTACCTCGCACACCCCGAATTAATCTTGCGCGCACATTTTTTTTTCATCTGAATATGAAGAGCTCGTTCACTATTGTTGATCGTGTGAGGCCATCGACGTGCGCAGGTTTCTTTATTCTTTCCCGCGCAGCCGTGGTCGAGTGGATCATGTTGTGCGGGGTGGAGAACCCTCACTCCGGGCAAGGGGGATGATCGCACCACGTTGTGTTGAATTGGTCAAGCACCCTCGAGGCAGTTACACAGTGCTTGCAAATGTCTCAGGAAGTGAAAGCACCAGAAAATAAATTCAGACATACGCAGACGTCCGTACGCAAGGAAGTAAGCACAAGATGCCGAACACCCTTAGCAGGATGCAGCGCACCCTTCATGCGACTCGCCGAATATCGCACGGCGCTTCGCGCTTGGTCATGTGAAAGCCTGGTCCGGTGAGAACCCGGCGTGCTCCGTCCCGGCTTTGTAGGGATGCGAGGTCAATGGTCTAACGACTAAGGCATGTACGACTATATGTACACCTCCCTCCACGCAGCCCTTTGTTGCTTGAAATGTGCGCCCCGGTCGCAAAGGGAACCAACCTATCGGGCACAGCAGTCTACCACATATCGCCTTTGTTTGTTTCTTGTTTGTTCTTTCCGGATCCTAAACTACTGTTACGTTTAGTTATTGGTGGTTGTGAATGCCACAGTCGTAGATTGTGACTTCAGATGACCAGTCGGAGATCTACCTTCGGGGTGTTGCCACAGATGGAGTCAGTGTGTGATGGACGCTGCATCTTGCGGCAGCAAGGGTTGCTCCCCCCTGACTCCCAACACAAATCCGTACTTTTCAGCCTGTCCACAAGCGGTTGAACCGGTGTGTATCCACACCACGTATCATAAGGGGAACGTGTCCACAGGTGAACCTGGAGACATCAGTCTCACATGGTAATGTGTATGTACTCTCTTGGGGGATAGGACACCTGTGTAGACTGCTTGCAAACCAGACTCACCCGCGGAGGTAGAGCATCTTCTCTAAATCGCCACAGGGACAGTTCTCAAGGACGATGAAGACCTTGTCCGGCGTCTCGTACACCTCGTACAAGCGCACGATGTGCCTGCCACCAAGGGTGACGGAAACGTGAAGCAATCACCGTGACAACAAGAACAACAGCAGCAGCAGTCATGGACCGATAACGACAACTAGTCATCGCATCAAGCCTCCTCACTCTTGCACAGGAGACGACACACAGACACACAGAGGCCTGTTCAACAAGACGCCCGTGTCCCACGTGGCGGTAGAGAAACAGCCCACGTGCTTGACAAAATCGACCCCAAAGCAAGGAGGGGTATTCACCAAGTTCGCACCCCAGCCCTAAACCAAACAATGGCCTTTGCAGGGCTTTTTTTGTGTTCAGGAAACATGTTGGATAAAGCATTGAGTCGGGGAAGTTGGGTTCGGGTTAGGGAATAGGGTCTGTCTGCGTACCCCCTCCCTGTTCTATTTCCTTATCTACTAGGGTTACGGTTGGGAAAAAGGGTATATCTGCGTACCCCCTCCCTCTTCTATCTCCTCATGAACTTACTTGTCTCGCGAAAGCGGCCAAACCCGAACCTTCTGGACCGGACGGCGATGAAAGGAAAAAGGCTGCAACAAAAAAAAGCGGCATAGTATTGTTCGATCTTTGAGCCAAACGGGCGCGTGAAGACTACCGGCACCGCACGTGTTTGGCATCCCATCACCTCGATGCCATACACACACACACGGCTGCCACGGATGCTACATAAGAGGGCACCAGTCGTCCTCGTCCTCTACAGACAGTTGGGGATGAGATTGTACCCCTCCATGAAGGGGATCTCCACATTACTCTCCCCCC